ACTTTTCTCTGCCCTTCTGATCAGAACCGCTAACCCAAGAGAAAGAGACTGTGAGCTCAAAACTTCATGCTTCTCTTTCTGCTTCCATCTGCTTGAACAACCATGCCCAAAGGGGTGTGGCCACCATTACAGGTTCACAGGCTACACTGCTACAAATACTAATTTGAATATGTTTGCATACTTTCTACCTTCCCCCAACACACTGTAAGGAACAATGTGTGACAGAACAAGACCACTTTCCCTATCTTTAAGAAAAGATACAGCTCAGTTTGCCTAGCATGTATGAACTCCTAAGTTCAATCTGTGATAATCATGCAGGTGTGTGTATGTATGCATGTCTGTGCACACACACACACACACACACACACACACACAATCTTCCCATGTCAGTTCCTAGACTTTTGTGATAAAGTATTAGTAAAAAGGCACTGGCCTTGTGGTGCTGATGAAACTGTAAATTGATGTGCTAAATCAAGGCTCAAAGAAGAAAAGGAAAGACCTTGAGTTTGCTAAGCTGGGAATGGAGGAAGTAGTTAAGTAGCAGGGCTTTAGGGGAGACTGCAAAGAATGTGAAAAGAATTGACTGACAGCAGAAAGGGCTACTTGTGGGTATGAACTGAATCCTATTTACTGGATTTTTCAAAGACCCAGGAAAAACCTTGGAATTGTCTTGACTGTTTTGAAGAATGGAAAATGTTCTCATTAAGTGATCAGTTGTATTATCTTTTAGTCCTCCCCACCTCCTGCCTCAGCTTACCTATACTCCCCAGGCTGAGGTCCACCTTCCCAGTCCAGATTCGTTAATTGTGCTTCTTTGATATTTCAGAGGGAGAAGATAGGTTTGCTTGGCTTGCGTTGAGTTTGAGATACTGGGAGCAAGACATGGGTGTTCCAGACATAGCAGCAAAAAAAAGATTTAGAACTCTTTCTTGTTTAATTAGTTTGGGTTTTGTTTGTTTGTTTGCTTGCTTGTTTTTGAAGCAAGAGCTTACTGTGTAGCTTAGACTGGCCTAGAACTCATGGTCATCTTGACTCAGCTTCATAAGACTGCCCACCATGTCTTCCTCAAACCTCTTGAAAGGAGCTTAGAAACTATGCCAAAGAAGGTGTGCCATTCTCAAGAGTAGAAAGAAGAAAGCCAAAGAACTTTTAGAGTTTAATAGTAGGAAAATCTCAGAAAGAACAAGTGCAAGAGACTAAGAAGTAGCTGGAAGGCAGGATGAAGCAGCAGTATTCAGGAGTCTACTCTGACCAGCTTGAAGAAATGTACAATCTAAGAGTTTTACTAAACCAATTGTTGTAGAGACTTCTTATTAAGTGTTGAATTATGTGAACTTGCAATTTGACAGGTTATGTTAAAAATAAAAGATACACACAAAAAATATATTTCCTAGCTCTTACTTTGCTGAGATTTGTCATCTTATTGTGTCTGTGTGATGGACACTCTACCTCAGACATCATGTTGGAAGCTTGAAACCCATGTATTACACCATAGAAACTCACAAATCCTCAAGCCAGAGCATTCTCGTCATGCTAGGAGGGCTAATTAAGCATTTTCTAGCATACCATTGGAAAACAGAGTAGAAATCAAGAAGTCTAATGGGTTAACAATGAGGCAGTTTGTAATTAGTTTCGGTAGGAAGCTGTGTAATATCACCCCAGTGCAATGTATGGAGGAACAGAAAAAGGCAAGTGATTAATTCAGTGTTGTGGTGAAGTTAGAAATAATAAAGCTAAGTGGGTTTCTGTTGATGATGTTATTAATTAGTTGTAAAGCTTACAGAGTAGTTATATCTTAACGTCTTTTATAAACCTCCAAAACACACAACATACACATTTATTTTGTAGTGAAACTTTCACTGTTATAAAAGGACCTGGTTATTTATAGACCACACCTCAGGAAATGTCACTGTCATATTTCACAATTAAGACCATATTAGTTGTAAGTTTGAGACATATTTTTGTTATTAAACTTTCTTAGTGTTTCAAATAAATATTGTCAAGAAAAAATGTCGATTAGTACTATTTGATGCTGAGCTTTGAGACCCAATTCCTTGAGCATGCTAGGCAAATGTTGTACCACTAAGATACATCTCCAGACCAAAGACAGAATTATATAGAGTACTGTTTTTGTATGTTTTGAGATAATCATATGGCTTGTTTGAAAATTAGGCTAATGCCATTAAATGAAGTTATCAATTTTAGGTATTAAATTGCCTTTGCTTTTCTGAGATAAATTCAATTTGATCACAGTAGTTTATTTTCTAGCATATGATTAAATTAATTAGCTTTACTTAACTTTTAAATTAATATTAATAAATAGGACTGATAATTTTCAGTGAGTTTTGTTACATATATATATATATATATATATATATATATATATATATATATAGTGTGGTGTGTGCACATGGTGAAGATTAGAGGACAACTTGTGGAAGCTGGTTCTCTCCTTCTACCATGGGGATCCTAGAATTGAACACAGATCATCAGGCTTGCCAGAAAGCTCCCTTACCTACTCAGCAATTTCAATAGACGTTTTTTAATGTTTCTTTTGTGGGGAGGGAGAAGTGTCAAACTTTTATATTAGTATTATAGTACTTAATAATTAATATTGTCAATGTAAAAGTATTTACCCATAGTTTAAATATGATATCTCTTTCTGCAGCATTTTAAAAGAACATCTGTAAAATTACTTGTTGGGAGAGGGTTTTGTTTTGTTTTGCTTTTTCATCAGTGATAGACATTGACCCCAGCGACTTGTGGGTAATAGGCAACTTGTCTAGCATTGAATTACACCTGAAACCTTTTGGGTATATAAATCTTGGATAAGTTTTCAATGATTTCCTTTTTCCCTATCTCTTGGGTCAATTTTCACTGTTCATTCCATTTCAGGTAAATTAATCTGAATAAATTGCTCTTGACCTGCATTATTATCAACTGTGATTCTAGTAGAAAGACTTAGTTCAGGATTTCTTATATGAAGCAGTTGAATGAGTAAGCAGAAATAGTCTGGCCTATTATGTGTGAGTTTTGTGTAAGTGCAAAGCTGTGATCTGTTTCTTCACAGCCTGAGTCTCCAGGTTTTAGGGATTTAAATGAAACTGACCATCCAATGAGCATAACATAAACATAGAATGTGAGGGAGGCGGATACACTATCCTCCAATTGCTCTGTCTTGTGTCTGTAGACTACACCTTGAAGACACAGAGCAGTCCGAGTGGATCCAGAGAGTGGGATGGGGTATGGGTGATGGTTGGAATACTGCCTGTCTCCAGAGGTAGTAGCAGCTGGCCTTGTTTTCTGTTTGATCTAACACTTGGGGTTACATGCCTTGACTAAATAGTAGTTTCCATATACTTTTATGTATTTATTTTTAAGAGAGAGAAAGAACATGAAATTGGATGGGAAAAGGATCAGGGAGGATATATAAGATGGGAAGTAATATGATCAAAATGCAGGTGTGAATATTTTTCAAAATAATAAATAATTGTTACTTTCTTTTTATATAATTCTTAATGAAATCATATATATTTAAGGAGGACTGGGAGCAACTATCAAGAAAATTAACATTGCTTAATCTTAGCATAGAATCTTTAAATTTTTTGAAGTAGTGGTTTTATTGATTAATTTCTTTATTGATATTTTTCTTTTATTTTCATATGCCTGAATCTCTTTTTAAATCTTACCTTACATGCTTTTTTAAAAGTCAGAGAAGTGATTTCTTATAGGTAAAGCTGTTTTCCACGTGTTAAATGTGCTATGCCTGAAAAGCAGTTTCTGTGTGGACACTGCCTTCACTGTTGACTAGCAAATTAGAATGTTTATGCAAATCATTGTGGTGGAGGTCAGCAGTCACAGCCAAAAGACAAAGCATACAGGCAGAAAGTGCTGACAAATGAGCTCTTCCTGTAGAAGACTGTCCAGCTCTGAGAACAGAACTACAGTTTACTATTGATACTGAGACACTGTTACAACTCTCCTGTTTCCAAGCAATAGTACTAAGCAGTACTGGGGAACACCAACAGGCAAAGTTTGCTAGCTGTAGTTCATGTGCTTTTATGTTAGAAATAACAGAATGGGAAAACTATTCATTTCATTATGTAATATTTTTATACCATGTATCAGTTAACAGAACAGTTTCTGTCAGTTCCAAGAAGTCAGAAAAGCAAGCATTGGAGTCTTGTGTGTGTCAGAGTGTGCAGAAGGTTGGGTCTGCATGCCGGGGCTCTCCGGCCCTCCTGATAAGGCTCTTGGCACCGGATGCTGTTTTGTCTTTACTGAATGTCCTATTCTGGGCTCCCTGAGCATTTTAAGAGACGAGGATGTGAATCACTATTTAGACAATCTGCTCCCTGGACCTTTCTCTGAAAAGTCTGCTTGGTGTGTACTGCATCTTCTATACTGAAGCAGGCTGGGCACTCTACTATGACCTTAGACTTCTCAACTATGTTGCTTCCAGATAAAATCAAATTTCAGTAAACATCAGCTTTGCAATGTATAACTATTATCAAACTTGCATCACTCTCTGCTCCGGAACTGGATATGGACAGCAGGCCTCCTTGTATGGCTTCTATCAGTAAGCTATACCCAGAGCCCTCAGCCCTCTGTCTTTTAAGGTTGCTAATCCCTTTAAAAATCTAGTTTTTCCTAAGTCTGAATGATGATATAGTTATTATTAATATTATATGTTAAGTATATGCAACAAAAGAAAAGGTTTCTATCATGTCAGTGATCTGACTGATAAATGGAGAGAAGATCAAGTGCCCATCTGTCTCTTTTGTGCAACCATTCTGAGATTTTTTTTCATCCTTCGTAATGCACAATGAGTCATTTGATGGTATGTTAGTTATTTCTAGAGCATATAAAGCTTTATATGCACAGAAAAACAAATACTGGGGTGAAAATTAATGTGTCTATTTGCATTTTGGTAGCCTGGGTTCTCTGAGGATTTTGAGTGCCAATGAAGTTTGAAAATATTATTTCTTTTTAATATTCAGATTTGAAAGAAGCTAACTGTGAACCACTGATACCCAAGAAGGACTTTTTTTAAAACAAGGACCACCCTTTACTGGTATGTACATCAGAATTTATTATATTACACTTGCATTTGAAAACCTTTTTTTAAAAAACTGCATCAATACTTTCTCCTACATAATTTTCCTGTTAGTCAGGTTTCATAATAGCATACTTGCCTAAGACAAAACAAAGATAAGAAAAAAGTTGGGTATAACACAAATCTTTAAAAATAACCCTTTAAACCCTTATTTTTATACCCATGACTCTAAGTTGCAATATTTTAGATTTTTATACTTATGATTAAAGTTAAATAAATGTATCTTGTCTGTTCCTCATAGGCCATTCAGCCCTAACCTCTGGTCAGACAGAAGTAGGCTCATATATACCAAACATGTTCTTTTCAAAGAAAATTTCTGACTTTAGCTTGTACTAGTATGGGGTATGACTTCAGGGCCTGTGGATAAAGTTCTGGGAAATCCATCATACCTTCTAGACCTTGTCCTAGTGTGCTAATGAAGTTCTTAGTCCCCAAGTGTGCCTTTTTGCCTGGAGGCATGGTACTCTGAAACTTTATGTAGTTTTAGAATTATTGATTATAGTCAACAAGGAAAGTCACAGGATGGTCCATTTTTCTGAAACCTGCAGATGCATTGAAAAAAGAACTGTCAGGTAAATACACTCACAAACCAATGCAGACTGTGTATGCATGTGTGTCAGTGCATGTTGCATGTTCCTTAGCTCTGTCCCCTGAAAGGACCTAGATAAGAGCCTCCTCAGTAGCAAACCAAACAGTGGTGTCCAAATGCCTTTTTCTCCCAAAAGAAACTACAGCTCTTTATAGAAGAGGTTGATTCCAAAGTTGGAGCAAAAACAGTCCAGCATAAGCAAGCCTGGAGGCCCATGTGGTACCAGAAGCCAGGGTGTGCTCCCAGAGAGTCAGGGTGGGTGGAGAGAACCCAGAAGTCAAAGCTGAGACAATTTGAGCAATAAAATAACTAACTGTGGAACTGCATTATTGCTCCCCAAGTGAAATATATGCAAGAGTTCTGACTGGTGTAAATAATTACAGAGTAAATGAATAAATGGAGGCGGAGACAGTGATGGTTCTTCGTTACAGAACTTAGTAAGAAGTGAGGGCAGTAGAAAGTCATTATCAGAGAACCATAACAACCTTTGCTACAGGCTGGATCCACCAATAAACACTGACTTTAGTGGGTGTGTAAGAACTTAGGGAGAAACAGGATATTTGCACAGCTTCCAAGTATTTCCCCCATGTATGTTAATTACAAATGGGAATGAAGAGACTTACAGTGCAGAGTCCTGGCAGACACCAACCATAGCCAAGCAGCCAAGGTTCAGTACCAACAGTAGTAAGACAGTAAGCTGTCTGCCCTGAGAGATGTCCTGAGAGAGACACAGAACATATTTGGTATTCTTCCCAAAACTGACCTGAGCTGAATCATAAGAAAGCATTAGACATACTCTGAATAGTTTAAGAATACCTGAGCAACATGCTTCAACAGCATCAGAGGCGTAAAATGCAGGCCAAAATGGGTACTATCACAGTCCTAAAAAAAGGCAAGGAGACATGGCAAGAGAATGTAGTGCATCCTGAAGCTGACAAGGAACTAATACTAGGGAGAAAGCTGGAAAAAATCCAAACAAAGGGGCAAATATTATTATATCAGTTTATTTTTTATAATTGTGAATATGTGAATTGGTGGGAAAGATTCACAAGATGGATCTGTCATCTTTTTATATTTTCTGTAAGGCTTAAGTGAAATCACTTCTCAGTTGTAAAATGTTTTGGTTGTGATTTTATTTATTAATTATTTAATTTATTACAGTTCTGGGGATCAAATTCAGGGTCTTGCATGTTCTATGTGAGCATTCTACCACTGTTACATCCCTAACCATTAAATGCAAAGTTTTTAAGTCACATGAAAATCTTCTAATAATTGTTCTCCTTGCTTTCCACTAATTGATACAAGTAGAATTTCTGTTTGTAATTCATAAATAAGCCAGAGGTATGAAGCAGGTACAGTCCCTTTTCTCTAGAGTGGCTTGTGGGTTTGTTTTATTTTGTTTATGCTAGAGTCTAAACCCTGTTAAATGCAAGCTAAGCAGCTTTCTTCCACTGAGCTGCCCTCTTACCCTCTGTTCTCTTATACATTCCCACCCATTTCTTTACAAACCTGTCTCTGTTCACTCTGCTTCAGATAGCAGCCAGTTACTTGCATCTTCTTTGAAAACCACAGGAGTGTCCAGGACAGCTGAAGGCTAGATCAAATGCTCAGCATGTATGTGTCTGGGGATAGGGGAAAACAAATCCCAACTTCACAAATCTGTCTGTACCTCCCTGGGAAGTAACTTTAAGCAAACTTTTCAATCCAGCTGGGGATGGGATAGGATTCAAATGTTCAAACAAGAACCTCACAAGTTTTGTTTTTGTTTTTTAAATCTCATCCATAAGTTATTGTTCCCCATTCTTTATTGCCTAGAATCTTATATTTAAGCAATGAGATGGGAGAAGACAACTTGTTATTGGAAAGAATGTCAGGGAGTGCAGCGAGTACAAGTAACACTAAGAGAGCTTAGATACTTAAAGGAAATCAGTAATAGATTTTGTTTTCTTTGACAATTGATTTAACCTTAGAAAAGTCTAAAGTGATTTAAAACAGAGAGAACAAACCCTTCAAAATGACGCAAATACACACTTTGGCACCTGGAAGAGAGATCTAAATTCAGTTATTTGGCATGAAAATTAAATGCTAAATATTTGGAATTTGACCCTGATTTTTTTTTAACTTGCTTACATGTTTAACCAACTTAGTAAACTACACCAGTTAACAGTTTTAGGTGAAAGGAAGACTAGCATAATACATACCTAATGCAGTGAGATGCATAGAAAGTAGAGTTAGGACTACTGAGGCTGGGGGCCAAGAGTGAGGCATGAAAGTGAAATGGGAACAGTTTCTGTTTTGTAAGCTGAAAAAGTTCTGGTAATGCCTACTCATCATTGTGAATGTACTTAACACCACAGAATTGACATTTCAAAGTGACTTAAAACATGTCAAAATGGCTAAAATGGTAAATTTGTGTATATGTTACTATAATAGAAAAATGAAAAAGAGATCACAGAAGTCTTCAGTAGTTACATTCCATTTCTTTGCTATAGCACCTTTACCCTTGGGAAGGTTTTGTTTTTAAACCTAGGGAGGGCTTTCTGAACATAATTTGCCAACTGGCAGTTTAAATGGCCCCTGTGCCATAAATTGTAAAGTTCAAAGAAAAATCCAATGAGTTGCTTGTGGGTTAATTTACAACTAAGGTAGATCAATCTATACAAAGAAGAAAAGCCCCCATAAGAAATACGTTAACAGATGGTAAGGGAGAAAAGAGTGCAGATAAAAGACACTTGAATTTGTTTGGTCCCAGCGATTTTATGACAGAGGAATTCAACTATAGTTGTACTGGGTAGAGCGAATCACAACTATGCAGTATTGAGGCATGCTCTCTGTGCACAGCTTGCCTAGCTGACCTGCTGTGCCTGAATTCAGTGCTTCAGGTTGAAACACAGATCATACATGGCATTTAAACCTTAAGGGTAGGCAATTGGTGTGTTCACAGCAACATGTAAAGCTAACATAAATTGCTTTGAATTTTAGCCAGTGGGTCTGTTTTACTTTACTGTTTTCCCCTTCTTTTTTTTAAAATTTGTTTGTTCTGGGGATTATACCCAGGGCTTTCCAGATTCTTTACACACTTTATATGGAGCGTCAGTCAAGGCTTACTGTCATTTCTTTTCTTTTCTTTTTTTTTTTTTTTGTTTGTGTTTTTTTAAAACTAACTTTTAATAAATTTAATTATGCATAGGTATGCATATGCATGTGAAAGCCAGAGGTGTTGGATCCCCTGGAGCTGGAGTTACAGATAGTTGTGAACTGCTTGATGTGGATGCTTTGAACTAAACTCAGGTGTCCTGGAAGAGCAGCAAATGCTCATAACCAGTGAACCATATCTCTAGTCCTTTTGTTGTTTTGTGAGACAGGACTTCATGTACTCTAGACTGATGGGGAAGTCACTGTATATATAGCTCAGGCTGTCTTTACAATTGTGGCAATCTTCTTGCCTTACCTCCAAAGTGCTGGGATTTCAGGCCATACACACTCCTACCTGCCATCCATCTATCTATCTGTCTGTCTGACTGTCTATCTCAGTGTCTGCCTCTCGCTTTAAGAATGAGTTTCATCACAAGGTTTTCATACATATATACAATGTAACTCTATCATATTCATTTGTCCCCTTTATCCCTCTTATCACTTCATTCTAAACATTTTTATTCTTAAAAAGCTATGAAAATATGTTTAAAATAAAAATATCACCACCACACAAAACTCCCTCCCACAATTTTTCTAGTTCTTGTTAACAGGAACACGTTTTCCCAGTTGTATATCCCACTTGTCTCATCTTTCTCTAGTTTCTGTCTGACTTTCAGATGTGTTGTTATGTTATGACAACAAGGCTTTCCATTGTAGTGACTGTAGTGGCATTACCTAGTTTACTAAGCCAGATTTTAGGTGATGTTTTGTTGTTTGTTTGTTTTGATTTGATTTTTGGATGTAATAAACTGCTTATGCTATTTCATGGCACATATTTCATTTCATTTTCAAGGTTGTCTTCTTCAGGTAAGAGGAATTGCTCGTGGAAGTGCTTGGGTAATTATATTGTTCTTGCTTCATTAGGGTACATTAATAACAAATGAACAAGTTCAAATGACTTCTTTTTCTTTGTTCTTCGCCTCCCAGATGCTAGGATTAAAGGTCTGTATCTCACCATAACCAGCTTGTTTAAATAAATTAGCATTTACCAGTGTTATTTGTGATTATGTGATAATAGAGGGATGTGGGGAGTACAAAGTTTACCAGTTATTTAGGAATAAAATAATATAAGTTTTATTGTTGTTTTCTTTTCTAAAACAAAACAATGAAAGCAAGGTTGGTTATAGCTTCCTAGTATGCACAAGCACTTGAGCCCCATCCCTAGCAGTCAAAC